TGGGGTCACTCAGCAGTTTCCATCATGTAATTTTTTTCCTTTTCCCTTGGTTCTTTTTTATTTTTAAACAATAGTTCTTTTGTAATATTGTATTTGACACTGAGTTGAAACTGGCACCCTAGCTCTGGAAGTCTTACTTTCAAAGTCTGCTATTTTGAATTCTAGTGCTCCTCCCACATTATCATTTGTTTTCATCATGCTGAACTCTTTTGATCAAGCCGTAGTCCCTTCCTACTTCTCTACCATCCTTTTTGAAATATGTGTATGTGCATGCATACCACATTCTCTAGGACTCCACATTGCAGCCTTGAAGGTGATGAGATCTGCCAGCACCAGTGTGCTAGATGACTTTTCCATTGACCCTGAAGTCCTGGGATGTTATTACTTCCCTCCTGGACTATAACTCTCAGTGAGCAGTGGAAATATTTCAGAGGACTGAACTGTGGGAAAATGGTGTTTCTTTCATCTGAAGCTACTTTTTAATGAATCTGATGGCCTGGGCCAGAAGAAAAATATCAGGTTGGAAATGGAGATGATAGATCAGGTTACAATCACGACTAACTTCACTGAAGAGACAAACCATGTTAGGATTCTAAATTTTGTCAGAAGAACACAAAAAACCTATCAATTTTCCATTTGCAATTAATAAAGGTATTGCTGCAGAAATGTATATAGCAGACCACTAATATCGTTTGACTTTATTGTATTTTTTGGCCTGGGGCATGGGTTTTAAATGGATATTATTTGTGCCAGTTTCTTTAAAAAAAAAAACAAAATATTTGTAAAAAAAGAAAAAAAAAGCACAAAAAAAAATCCTCAACTATCATCCCAAGAATGAAATCCAGATTTCTAATCTAATCATTTAAAACTCTTCACGATCTGGATGAGGGCTACCTTTCCATGCTTATTTCATTTCACTCTCCTTTCAACACTGGGGGTAAGTAGCACTGAATCATTTACATGTTTTTCTGTTCCTCCTCATTTGTGAGTTTGGCGATACCATGAAGAGACAAGACCTACATGGGGTACCATTTTGGGAGACTTTGGGCAGCCAGGGGGTTAGCATCGGGGTATTAGGTGGACCCTGTGGGTCTGGGATTTATTGTCTGGCAGATGGTAGGAAATAGTACAGAAAAGGAAGGAGAGGTGAGAAAAGACAAGCTCCATTGATCTCAAAAGTGTTCATGGTCAGGGTCTGTGTATACATCTGCACATGAGGGTGAGTGTGGCAAATTCTCGAGAACATGCTTCTAGATACTATAGTCCTTCTAGATACTATAGTCCTTCTAGACACTATAGTCCTTCTAGATACTATAGTCCTTCTAGATACTATAGTCCTTCTAGACACTATAGTCCTTCTAGATACTATAGTCCTTCTAGATACTATAGTCTAATGTTCTTTCTCTGCTTTCCTTTGCTTTAATATTTTTTCTTGCTTAAGGCCTACTCTCTAGTCTGAGAATTTTTCTGTCTGTCCAAAAACATTAGCGGCATGGCCTTCTCTTCACCCTGCGGTTTTGAATTTCTGAAACTGATTTGAGTATGAACAACAGCAGTGTCTGACTGCCTTTTTCATTTCCCTGCTGCTCATTTCTTTCTTTGTGGCTTTCCCTGTCTGTTTTACCTTCTTCAACTGCTTGTCTCTCTTGACTCCCTCTTTCTCTCTTTGCGCTGCTAACTGAAGTCAGGCATTCAAACAGTCTTGTCTACTAGAAGAGTTTGCTGTGTTTCTATCATAGAAAGACCCATCAGTGGGGAGGCCAGGTGAGAGGCCGGGCCCCAGCTGGGGTTTCACTTTGGATGTCAGTCTTGAAATGGACCTGGCAGAAGAACAGGAGCTACTTATATACAGACTGTAAGAGCAGAGATATTTACAGAGTGGATGCTTCATGTAGGCCCGCCAAAGGGCAGCAGAACACTCCAGCCAATAAATTATTTTTTGATTGAAAGCTTATTTGAATGTCTTATTATCAAATACCATGAAGTATAATTGTTGTTAGTCCTTCGTTCTTCTTCTTTTTTTTTTTGGTGAGGCGACTGGGGTTAAGTGACTTGCTTAAGGTCACATAGTAAGTGTTAAGTGTCTGAGGTTGGATTTGAACTCAGGTCTTCTTGACTCCAAGGTCAGAGCTCTATTCACTGTGCCATCTAGCTGCCCCATAGTCCTTCGTTCTTGAAAAGGCCCATGACATCAAGGAGGTGATGCCATGACATGCAAGTGAATTGGATTTAAGGGAGGGAGGGCTGTACAAAGTCACCAGCCTCCCTTTCTCCTCTGGAGCCATCTGGGTCCAGTGGGAAGCCCAGGATTCAGTGGGAGACCTTGGCCTTTTTAAGCTAAGGTCTTTCTGAGTTCTCACTTTGAGAGCACCATGGAGTATAGCAGTGGGGGCATCAAAGAGGGGCAGGTTCACTTAGCTATCACAACAGCTTGGTTTGTATGGAGTCCTCCTGGTTGGACAAGTTTCTTGCTTAACCCCAGAGTGGAGAATTTGGGGCCAAAGGGTCACTGTGAAACTGTTGAGATATAATTAGCTGTATATCATTGCTAATCTTCATTAAGTGATGCATTTCCTCTGGTGAGTATACTGAATTTCTCCCTCAAAACCCCAGCGTTTCTTATACAAATGAAATTTCAGGTCAAGTAAAAAAAAATTACATATATATATCCCTACATATGAAATGTATACATGTACGTATAGGGCATGTGTATATATGCATAAATACACGAAACACACATACACAATAGAATGAACACATGCATATGTTTATCTATATGTATATGTATACATATATGCAAATTTCTCATATCTAAATGTATGTAGACATATATGTAAGTATAGACATATACAGGTATATAGACATATATATATATAAATGTATACAGACATATATTTGCATACATATGTGTACACACACACACACATATACATGCACTTTGGAATTCTTATTTTTCATTTAGTAGCTTCTGAATTTCCCCATCATTTTCATCAAACCAGTCTTGATGTTTGTGAACGTTCTGACCCAGATGAGCAAATGCAGTACTGTACACCAGATCTCTGAAGGTTGCCCACTCCTTTTCTCCCTCATTGTTACCAACTGTGTACGGGCTCAACTTTCCCTCCAAATTAGAAACAAACTGTTTCTACTCAGAGAAGCACTCTAATCTGTTGACACTAATTCTTCTGGTAGTCATTTTGCCTTGGGACCATGGCTTTTGTTGAATGTGAATATTTACCTTAGAGAGGATAAGTCTATGATCCGTCCAGCACTCTGGGCCACACATTGCCTTCATTAGTCTCATATCCAGTCTGTCTTTTCTCCTTACAATCACACAGTCTATTAGATGCCAATGTTTGCTGCGAAAGTGCATTCATGAAGTTTTATTATGTTCAGGTAAACTGATGAGATTTTGGTGATGAGAAGGTCATGAGATGCACAAGTCTTCAGTAGTAAGTGACCATTGCTGTTGCTGTTTCCAACTCCATTTCTCCCAAGGACTCCCTTCCATGTCTGGTGGTCTGAGCTTACTCTAGCATTAAAGTTTCCCAGAATTATAAGTTTGTCCTCCTTTGACCCATTGATGACAGTATACCAGCACCACGGCAGGAAACTGAATCGCTTCCATTTGAATTGTCTTAGGAAGATTCTGAAGATCACTGGGCTAGATAAGATACCTGACCCAGAGGTCATTTCTTGAGCTAAACTGCCAAGCATTCAAACTCTACTGCATTGAGTGCAACAACGATGGTCTGTCTGGCTACTGTGTTCAAATGCCAACTGTGTACTCGCCTAAAAGATTATTTTATCGAGAACTAGGGTGGTCAGAAGAGGTGATACAAGGACACTCTCAAGGTCTCTCTTAATAATTTTGGAATTGGGGGTAGCTAGGTGGTGCAGTGGATAGAGCACTGGCCCTGGATTCAGGAGTACCTGAGTTCAAATCTGGCCTCAGACACATAACACTTACTAGCTGTGTGACCCTGGGCAAGTCACTTAATCTCATTGCCTAGCCAAACCAAAACAAAACAAAAAATACTTTGGAATTGATTGTGTGACATGGGAGTCACTGGCACAGTACTATCCAACATGGTGTGCCCTCATCAGAAAAGATCCTGTGCCTTATGAGCAAAGCAGAATTAAAGTAGCTCAAAAGAAACACAGGACACGCAAATTTTGAGAATCCACCCCAAATGTTCACATGGACTATTTGTGCCCGACCTGTGGTAGAGCATTCTGAGCTCATATCGGTCAGATCAGCCATAGTCTGACACATTGTAACTTAATTCTAATATAGTGATGTCATTTTGGTACTCTGAGAATGAAGGACAACAACCATACACACACACACACACACACACACACACACACACAGATATGCATTGAGGGGAATAATGTCTAAGATAACAACCAAAGACATGGGAGTCAAGTTGTTAACTCCTTTAGATGTCAGAAAGAGGCCTTCATATTTAACCCCAGAGTTTATAGGGATCCATTGGAGGTTGATGGGCCATGGACTGACGTGGTTGGACTTGTGCTTCAGGAATTCTAAAAATCCATGATCTCTGACGTTGGCTAAGTAGAGAATTCACAGAATGGATTTTTCTCCTGACAGAAGATAACTCCAGCCCAGGGAAGGAAAGCACATAAGCATTTAGTAAATATCTACCATGTACCAGGAACTTTATAAAAATCCCATTTGATCCTCATAACAACCCTGGGAGGTAGGTGTTCTTATTGTCCCCATTTTACATTTGAGGAAATTGAGAATGAGAGAGACAAAAATGACTTGCTCAGGGTCACACAACTGGTAAGTGTCTAAGATCAAATTTGAACTCAGGCCTTCCTGACTCCAGTGCTCTACCCACCATACCACTTAGCATTCCACTTAGTCAAGTCTGTTACAGTAACTATTATGAGTATTCTGTCACATGAGAGGCTCAGTTACCAGGAAGGCTATAGTTGAACTGTTTCACTTTCATTTCCCAATGGGTCAGATGACAGTTTTAGAAAACAGGCTTTTCAAGCCCTGAAAGTGGCTCTTTTGGAAGGTATGGTGGTATTTGTGACCCAGGCATCCTGGGTAGCTCTGTGACCTCGTTATTATAAGCATGGAGATGTTTTCAGAGACAGATGAGAAGACCCTAGATTAGAAACTGGAAAAGATGTCAGAGCTCTTCAGAGTAACTCCTTTGTTGAAATGAAAGGAAGTCCAGAGTGGTTCAGTGACTGGTCCAAAGTCCCACTGGCAGCAACTGGCTAAGCTGGAATTCTAAAGGTGGAACTGCCCAAGATGATTTCTCTCTCTCCTAGGGAAGTGGCCCTTATTGTCCTTTTCCAGCTCCCCTGGCTCCTCTCAGGTAGGTGGGACCTTGGTAATGAGCCCCTGATCTCTTTGCTGCCTTCTTCTGGGAAGGATTTCCTTGAATCTGGGCCTCTTTGACTTTCTTTTTCTCGGCATCTTCTTTATCTCCCTTTCCTGGTGTGGTGGAATGTTTCAGATCAGAGGATATTGGGAAGAATTGGGTTTGGTCACATTTCCAATTTAGATTTCAATCTTACTAGTCTCTCAGGACCCAGGTAAGATTCCATGGCATGTATGAAGCTGCCCCAACAATGGAACCTCAAAGTGACCTTTCTCTGCTTTCACTCATTGCATTATTGGTCTGTCTTATTTGTTTTATCTTCAGGGGTGCTGCGTCTCGGATCAATGAACCCTGATTTCTCCTGCTTAACCTTTCAATCTGGTTCAAAATCATCTCAAATCATACCCTCAAGGGGGAAAACTTGTCATTAAAAAAAAACAACTTGTTTCCCTCTCTATTTCCTGGGTTTTAAAAAGTACATTTTTAAATGAGTTTTCTTTATAGCACAGTCATTTGAATATATTCTCTCACCATGTCCACACATGGAGATGTGATGTAAGTGGGGGATATGAAGTTGATGATAGGTCACCCCAAATTGGGTCATGGGGTCTAACAAGGTAGAGTGACTTTGCAAAGTCTCTGTCCTTGAAACTGGACCATCTATGGAGATTTTGTGGCCACTGGGGTTGTGATGTCTACTGTGAAGAGATCACTCATGAAATGAAGGTGTGAACTTCATCTAAAACTTGAAATTTACCAATGACTGGACACAACCATCTGCCTCCGTCCCTTAAATGCTGGTGCCCTTTTTCTACAATTCCTTGTACATACAGCACCAGGCAGTCAGTAGGTGAACTTCCCCTAAAGAGAACTAGATTGGGAAATTTCAGAAACTTTTGGGCTTCTGAACCCTCCAAGTCCCTCTGCCTCTTTGGTGTCCCCCCTCATAGTGAATGTTCCACAGTGTACTCTGTACCAGACAGCATCTCCTAATCTCTGTTGATCATTCCAATATAACACCTGTAGGTAAAATCATGTTTCTCCTTCATGGTCCCCAATAATCTTTTCTTTCTCCTTTTATGCTTTATGATGCCTCATTACCTACAAAAGCCTGCCCATCTTTTCCACCTTTTAGAATTGCTCTCTGTCATTTTTTAATCCACTGCCTCCTATTCTCTTAAACTTGTCCTTCTCTTTAGGATTTGTTTTAACTTGGTGAAGGATGGGTTGAAATTGGGAGATATTTGGGTCAGGGAAAGCAAAGAGGCTATTGTAGGAGTTCAGACGATGAAGGCCTGAACTAAGATGGTGGCTGATCTGATAAAGAGAAAGGGACATATGCAGGAGATGTTGTGGCAATTGAAACAAGATTTCAAAACAAACTAGATATATAGTGTGCACGAGAGAGAAGAGTCAGAGATAATACTGAAGTTTCACCATTCTTTGATTATAAGGATGATATAGTGCCTTCAATAATAATAAGAAAATTTGGAAGAGGGGTGAGTTTTAAGGAGAAATATGATGAGTTTAGCTTTGGACATGTTGAGATTGAAGTGCTTACAGTATATCTAGTTTAAAATTCCTAATAGGCAAATTGTTATTTTGGACTAGAATTGGATATTCAGTCATATATGTGTGTATATATAGACATATAAATTTGTATATGTATACACACACATTTATGTAATATGAATGCAGATGATAATTAAATCTATTGACACTAAAGAGATCACAGTGAGAGCGTACAGAGAAAAGAGAAGAAGACACAGAACCGAGACTTGGAGAACACACGCAGTTAATAGGCATGGAATTGATGATGATCTAGCAGAGAAGATTGGGAAACATAATTCATCAGAATGCTAAAAGGAGACATAAGACAGAGAAGTAGTGAAAACTCAGGAATTACGGGTAGATATGTGTCCAACGTGGCAGAGAGGTCTAGCAGGATGAGAATTAGGAAGAAGCCATTAGATTTGTCCATGAAAAAAACAGGTCATTGGTAATTTTGGAAAGATTCTAGAGAGAGAGGAAGTAGAGATACTATCTATAGCATTTTTCAAGGAACTTGGTTGAAATATTTAGGAAAGATAGAGGATGGTAGCTAGAGGTATGTTAGGATCATGTGAAGGTTTTAAGAGTTGGGGATACTTTGGTGTGTTTGTAAGGGCATAACCAGTAGAGAAGGAGAGATTGAAAATGCCAGGGTGATGATATTGGGAGAAATCTGCTAGAAAAGATGAGAGGGATTGGGCTTAAGAGTACATGGGAAAAGGCTGGTTTTGGTAAGGAGAAAGACCACCTCTTCTTCAGAGAGTGGAGCAAAGAAAGAGAGGATATAAGATTATGTCAAGGGGTTGTGAGATGAGGAGGGAGGAAAAAGAGAAAATTCATAGTTAATGACTTTTATTTTCTTAGAAAAGTATTAGGTGAGGTCTTCAGTTGGAGTGGTGGTGGTGGTGCTATGGGAGCCTTAAAGAGAGAAGAGAAGGTTTCAGACAGCCATTGTAGTCAGTGGAATAGTGTTACAATTAAAGAGAAAGGTTTTCTTTTTGATCAGGAATCAGAAAAAAGACCCCTCTTTCTACTGTTTTTTTTTTTCTACTACCTTTCAGCTTCTCAAAATAAACTAAATGTCTCCTATTTCCTAATTTGGGTAACATGATAGATATAGAATGATGTCCCTTTGAATTTGGAGGTGGGGCCCAAATATAAGTACTTTTCACCTTAGAAGAAACCCTGCACTTCTAGTTTCATGGTAGGGAGAAAGGAAGGAAGTTTAATCTTGAAATTTAAAGGCCAGTTCTTGACCAGGATTAATTTTGAAAGGCCATGATTCATTGCTTTTTTACAAATTTAAAACAATATCACCACCAATATCAGGTTGCCCCAGCCCTTAAAGCCACCAAAGAGTGCTGGGTCAAGAGCTTGTCCGATACCATGATGCAATAGCTCTTTGATGCCTGAGATCAAAAGGCCTGTAAGATGGTATGGGCCTTTTCATTCCTGCAGACTACATTAAGATAGATAATAGGCTCCAGTCTGGACACCATTTTGGCCACATTCGCTGTAAGTGTTTCTCTATTTGATGGTTTTACGTATCACATTCAAAGATGAACCCAGGTCAAATGATTTCCTAAGATCATCTCTATTTGAAACCTGTTAGAGACAAGAACCTTGTCTTCTAAGTAAGAAGATGTCATTCCTGATATGAGATGGAGATGTTCTTAAACAACAAAAATGTTTAGTGGTCCTAGCAACACTACTAAACAGCAAATGAGTAGGAATCCAGAGTTAGGGTCTGACAAGGCATGAGGCTGGCTAATCAGGGGGTTGAGATAGAATGGCACACTCCACTTTCTGGAATGAGTCCAATTCTAAACTACCTCAATAACTTGTTGACCTGGGATGTGGCCAAGTTTCCTTGGTCTTTTTAAACATGATTTTTATGCAACGTATTTCCTTTCCAAGGACTTTGTGCACTCACTGCTTGATTGTTTGGCCATCTGATTACTGATTTTATGTGGTGTGACTTAATTCAGTAAATCAATCAATCCCCTTACCCGCATGTTATTGTGAAGATTCCTTTAATGTATTGGGCAGACCATATGGCTGCCAAGGTCACTCCCAACCCGCAAAATCTCTAAGCTTGTCCTCCTGTGAGCGCTGACAGTTCAAGAGAGCAGAGATTCTCTCATTTAAATTTTGGGTTCTCTCTGCCGCGAGAGTATATATTACCAAGGATTCTGCACATAGTACATTCTTTTAAAAAATGTACTGATATCTTTAGTTTTTATGTTGATATTGCCTTCATATCTTCTGTTTTTACATCTTAGCATTTCTTTTTCTCCCATTCCCATAGTGCTATCCATAAAACAAAGGACATTTTTTTAATGACAAAAAAAGCAGAGAAATAAATCAGCCAAAGTGATCAATAAATTGAAAGACCTTGAAAATACATACAATGTTTCCCACTTGTGGACCACCCATTTCTGGACAGGAGAGGGAGGAATTGTTTTTTCATATCTCTTTTTTGGGACCATGCCTGTTTTTTTATAATTTTGCAACAGTTACTTTTGACTACTGTGTGGTGATTGTTCTTTCTGTGGACTCTGTTGTAATCTGTGTATATTATTTTCTTCATTCTGTTTACTTTACTCTCCATCAGTTCATGTAGGTCTTTCCATACTTCTCTTTTTTTCAGCACAGTCATATACTATTATATTCATGTGTCATCATTTTTTTTTCAGTCATTTCCCACTTGATGGGGTTTCTATAGCAGGTTCTTAATAAATATTTGTTAATGGAATCATTGATTAATCTACTGGCCATTTTGTCTTAATCTTGTAGAGTTTAATTTTTAAAAGTCAATTACTTTTCATTCTTCATTTCATAATTGGCATTGGTTTATTTCCAATGCAATCAAACAATAGTTACCTTCAAAAAACTGGCTATATCTACATACCATTGAATAACTACCTTAAACACGTGGTAGTATTGCTGATGAAGTTTGTTTCACTTTCCAGATTCAACTTTGATTTCTCAAAAGAACACAGCTTGTGATTATAGTTCACATCTACAAGGTCAACACAGTTATTTAATTGGGTGGTTTGCCTTATCAGGATTAAGCTATTGGTATGGTGAAGTAAAAAATCTCCTTAATTTTCCATACATTCTTTAAAAAAAACTTTCCTAAAACCAAGAAATGTAATAAATAAAGGGAATAGCCTTGTAGATAGAACAAATTTTAAAGACATAAATTCATTGGTAGAATTTGGTGCTCTTTTCACAAATTCTTGACTGTTTTCCAACTTTCCTTAATCCAATTTTGGTTATATCTCAGACTTGGTTCCCTGATTCCTTTTCTTGTAGTTAAGACCTCTCTCGGTTGGTCTGTATTTCTGTGCCTTCAGCTTTAAGTCGACCTGTACTCAAAATTTCTTCTGGCTTCTCATATGTAGAAGATTTTTTTTTTTAATGACAACAACCTGCAGTTTACTCACTCGCTCAATCTGCTTGAGCCAATGAGAAAGGAATGACTTTACTTTCTTCTACTAACCTGATAATCATTGCATCCTGTTAATCAGCAAAGGTTAGGCAGAGTTAGGATTTGTCTGGCCAGGTAACTGGGAGAATCTGGGACCTATATGTTTACCTATCAGGAAGTTAAGGCATGATCTCTGATTCTGTTCCATCCTTTCATTTCATGGCTCAAATAAGCCCAAAAATAATACCATGGAAAGAGGGTCTTGTTCAAGATACAAGTTAATCCTTTGGGAGCTAGGTAGAATAGTAAATAGAGCACTGGACTTGGAGTAAAGAAGACATGAGTTCAAATCCTGTCTCAGATGCTTAATAGTTGAAAAAATGACCCTGGGCAAATCACCCTTAGTTTTCTCTTCTGCAAAATGGGCATAGTTATAGCACCTTCATCACTGTGGGGCTGTTAAGATGAAATGAGCTAATATATGTGAAATGCTTTATACACCTTGATGTCTATAAAAATTCTAGCTATTACTGTGGGGGTCTTTTATTGTCACCCCCAATAAAAAAACCAGTTATTCCTCATAAAACTCTCTAGCTGTAATCACTAGGTTAGTTAAATTTAAAATCAATAAATTTCTAATTTATTTATCTTTTAGGTACTTAGGGTTAAGTGACTTGCCCAGGGTCACACAGCTAGTAAGTGTCAAGTGTTTGGTCTGAGGTCAGATTTGAACTCAGGTCCTCCTGACTTCAGGGCCAGTGCTCTATCCACTGTGCCACCTAGCTACCCCCTAGAATTTTTAATTTAAGCAGCTGAGATTACACCCATTAAAGTATTACTTTTACAGACTTGCCTCTGGTTCGACCATTAGGTTTCAAAACAAATGTTTCATTTATCCATTTTTATTAATGCCTTTGGTTTTTATGTCACTTGCATTTGCTAATATATCCCTATATTCTCCAGTCCTAAACCATGAAAGTTTCCCTTATGACAGAGAGAAAATAGCTGTTTCATTCATTCAAAACCTTTGTTCATTCCTGTCTATCTGACTCTTCATGACTCCATTTGAGGTTTTCTTGGCAAAGATACTGGAGTGGTTTGCCATTTCCTTCTCCAGAGGAGGAAACTGAGGCAAACGGGGTTAAGTGACTTACCCAGGGTCACACAGTTAGTAAGTGTCTGAGGCTGGTTTTGAACTCAAGTCTTCCTGATTCCAGGCCAGGTACTCTATTCATGGTGCCACCTAACTGCTGCTTAAAAAACCAGTCAACACATAATATCTAACATTTGTATAGCACAGGTTTTCAAAGTGTTTTACACATATCTCATTTGATCCTCTCAACAACGGGTTGAGGTAGGGACGATTGCTATTATTATTCTCATTTACAGATGAAGAAACTGAGGCACAGAAGTTAAGTGACTTTCTTCAGTTCAGTCAGCAGGTAAGTATATGAGACAAGATTCAAAGTCAGGTTTTCTTGACTCTAACTCTAGCCCTCTCTCCACTATGCTTCTTTGCTATATAATTAAGTATATCTGATAGAACATAAAATATTTCACACCCGTTGTCTCTCACCTCTGTGGTGAAGGCAGCAAAGTTCACTTTTTCTGTTCTTTTCTGGGTCAAAGACAGGGCACTGTCAATACAGAGCTTGATTTCGTTTTATTGTGCTTCCTAATTATGTTGCTGTCATCTGAGTACATTTTGTTCTTGCTCCTACTTTAGTCACTATGCATCAGTTTATATAATTCTTTACGTGTTTCTCCTATTTTCATCATATTTGTTTGTTCTCAACAACTAGAATTTCATTGTATTCATGAACCCCCATTTGCTTTATACTTTCCCAACCCATACTTTGCCTTTTTCCCCCCAGATTTTTTCCACCACAGAAAGTGCTGCTGTGACTCTTTTGGCCAACATGAGACTTCTTTTACTTCTGGATCAAAAGGTACAGACATTTTAGTTATTTTATTAAACATTATTCCGAATTACTTTCCAGAGAGTTGGACCAATTCAATATTTTCTTGAAACCTGTAGCCAACGTTACCTTTTCACATATTTTTAATCTTACTCAATTTGTTTGGTGTCAGGTAAAACCTCAGAATTGTATTGATATACAGTTCTTTCATTATTACTGATTTTTAGCAAACTGTTTATAATTGCCAATTCTTTCAAGAATGATTTGTTATTATCTTTGGCCAATTTTCCATTGGGGAATGGCTTTTAGCCCTATATATTTGTGTTGGTTCCCTATATATTTTGGATAGAAAATGTTTACCAGAGATATTTAATCATTTCCCTTTTCATACTAGCTGCATTAATTTTATTTGTGCAAAAGTTTTTCAATTTCATGTAATATATTACCTACTTAATCTTTAGTGATTTCCTCTATTTCTTATTTGGTTAAGGATCCTTACTTAGCTGAGCTAAATTTGTGAAAGATGACCCCATCTATTCTCTTCTAATTTTTTTTTATGGTAGAATAAGTTATATGGTATAAGATAAAGGCAGACTTTTTTTTTTAAAAAGTTTCATTGTACCTCTTTATTTCCATTTTTAGAGGAAAGTTTTGGTGATGTGTAGGAATAATTTGAATCTCAGAAGAACCTAGCTCACAGAAAATGTGATCTGTTTTCTTAGGGTGCTTGACTAGCTTTGTATTTATACTCAATTTTACTTCTTTTAGTAAATTAACTGGTTCGGTCTGCCAACTGTTCTGACTATTTTTTCCATTGAACTAACAATGACCCGTCAATTCAGTAAAAAAGAATTCATAGCATGTTGTTGATAAAAAAAAACCCCACTGTTAAATTAATGATCTGAAATAAAAAGGAAACCGAGGACAAAGTTACTAAACCATCTATAATTTAATTTGCAACGAGAGCATTTGCATATCAAATTAGATCACCTGACTCTTCAGATGTCAGAGACAAAGAGTGATTTACAAAGCTGATTGTTATAACAGAAAAGAAGAATAAAAAAATTGTTTTGAACATAATTCAATTGGACAAGTCAGGTCACCTGACTATTTAGTTTCTCCCAGCCTTTCTTAATGCTACCCAGAATCATTAATCCTTAATCCCACCTTTCCTTACAGGTGGTATCTTTTGTAAGCAGAAAGTCTACTAGGAAAGAGGAACATGTGGTCAGTAGTTAGCAGTCGCTCCCCATTTTCCTTAGAAGATTTCATTACTCAATTTAGATTCTAGCTCAAGAAAAAAGAAAGGAGCTTATCTGCTAAGGCTGGAGAAAAGAAGTAAACCTCTGGCTGGCCTCTCTCCAGCTTCCTGAGAGGGGAATTTAGCCTCTGGTGAAAGCCCCTTTCTGCCAGAAAGGAAAACCTAGCCTTTCAAAAAGAGTAATCCTATGATTACTTTAATATATTTTACTCTAAATTATCTGCTACTAAATGCTAAAGTCTTCTCAGTCTGTCTCTTCACTAAATCTATAGATAACATGGATTTAAGAAACTATCTATGTTAGTCTGGCTTAGCTGTTAGGGCTAGCTTTTCCTACAGAAGGGAGTTTAATCCTATAATCAAACTAAAAATAAATCGATCCTCAATATTAATTGATTTCCTTTTCATCACCCTTAGTCTGAATTTTTAAGCTCACAGATAATATTCTGTTGGACAAGTGACCTCAAGGCCACAGTTTTTTATCCTGTTTGTCTGGATCCACTTTTCTCTTATCCTTTTTGTTAACTGATATCAATGAGGTTTTGAACTCCCCATCCAGAGAGATCTTTTATTGTGGGGGGGTAGATGATTATCTCTCAGAGACACTATGGAGAGGATAATTGCATGGGATGGGGTGGGGAGGAGTACATTAAATGTCTTTGAAGGTCCTTCCTATGCTAAAGTTTTATTGCTCTTAATGCTTCTGTAATCTTCAAAAGGTGGAGATTGGTCTCTATTGTGTCAAAAGTATTTTCCATATTGAAAAAAAAAACTTTTGACTTAATGCTTTTCTCACACTCTGCTGCTTTTTATCTTGTCCCTATCCTAGTATTAACCCTGGTTTTTCCCTGACTCTGCCTCCATTCTCCAGGGAAGTTCACTGTGTTGGGACCACAGGAGCCAATCACAGCCTCGGTGGGTGGAGAGGCTACATTCCACTGCCACCTCTGTCCCCAGAAGGATGCTGGGGATATGGAGGTGATGTGGTTTCATGAGAAGCACTCAGATCTAATTCATCACTATAAAGATAAGCAGGACCAAATGGAATACCAACTTCCAGAATATAAAGAAAGAACAGAATTCCTTCGAGAGAATATTTCCAGTGGGAATGTGGCCCTGAGGTTGAGCAATATCCATCCATCTGATGAGGGGAAGTATTTGTGTCAATTTAGAAGTTCCATCTATTCTCATGAAGCTGAATTCCAAGTACATGTGGCAGGTGAGTTTGTGGCTGGTGCCCAAGCCTTCACACGGAGGCAACAACTATAGGGAAATTTGCTTCTGGGGAATACAGGCAGCCCTATCCTGCTATAGGGGCAAAACAGGGACATCCAATGTTAAAGGCAATATTGCCTTGTTCCCAGGTTAGACCATCAAAAGGGGAGGGCAATTCAAAGAGGAAGATCCATTTTCTGGAAAGTAATGGTCCATTCCAGTCGGAGACAAATAGTTCAGCTGAAGAAATGGAATGCAATCCGAAGCAAATACTTAAGTTAGATTCACTGAGGTAAGGTTTCTGGGAAGCCACTTGAAGTGAGAATAATGGTCAAATCAGGGTGAATTTCCAGCAGTTATTGAAATGATATTTTGGCTAATGTGCTAAACTGATGGATAATTATGCCCATGGTTTAGGTTAATCAGTTTAAAGATCCTCTGAAGACAAAAACTAAACTAATCCTGTCCTCAAGCAGTTTACATTCTGCAGCAATTATATTGATAAGAAAACATAATTTATATACAAAGTAGAAAATAATTTCAAGGTGAGAGGAATAACATGTCTGGATCTCTGTGTTAGGAAGTGAATTTTGGGAGCTGTGTGGAGGACAAATTGAATGGGGAAGAGATTAGAAGAAGAGAGGTTAATTTGGGGGGGCAAGATGTGATAAGGGCCTGAACCAGGGTAGTGACCATGGGAAGATGGAGAAATGAATGAATGCAAGAGATGTCGTTGAAGTAGAATAAAAAAAATGGTGACTGAATGTGGGTAGAGAGTGAAAGGGAAGAGTAAAGAATGATATAGAGGTTGAGTTTCTAAACTTAATTGACCAGAAAGGGTGTTATTCTTGACAGAAATAGAGAAGTTAGTGATAAGCATGTGTTTGCAGGAAAAGATGAATTCTGATTTGGACATGCTAAGCTTGACATTCCTAAGGGACATCCAGATGGAGATATCTGTAGGTGATGTGGGACAAGTGGTCAGGAGAGAGACAAAGACTGGGAATGTATATGTGGGAGTCCTCTGAACAGAGTGACAACTTAATTCATGGGCACTGATGAAATGTAGTGAGGAGAAGAGAGTGTAGAGAGAGAAGGCCCAGGACAGAGATCTGGGGCACATCCATACCACAGAAGAAGTTACTGAAAAGGAGATTGAGGAGAGGAGGAATACTACAAAGATCCAAGTACTGAAAAAAAAATGGTGTCTGGGAGAATAGGATGGTCAATATCATAAAAAAAATGGGATGAGGACTGAGAAAAAGTCATGAATTTACCAGTATTTGTTGGCAACTCTAAAGAACATTGCTTCAGTTAAATGTGGAGGCCAGAAGTCACATTGCATGGTGTTGAAGGGTCCATGAGGAAGAGGAAGCAAGTACAGATGTCCTGGTGCATGGTTGCAGAAGTGGGGAGAGAAAAAGTAATCTCTTGAAGGAACAGGACTAATGAAGTGAAGTCATGAAGACCACAACTTCCCTCGGTTTCAACTGGGAGGATACAGTTTCAAGCTGCAAAAAGCTTTTACCGGGGAAAGGGGGAAGGGTACAGTATCGTGTCCCTACTTACTCCATTCTATATTATATAGTGCAGCTTCAAACTTCAGGAAACTCATAGACTGTGTGAATGTGGAGATGAGAGGTTGGGAGATTGTCAAATCAAGGCTTTAGGGACTCTGTTGTTATTTGCATAGAGTCATGATGCTTGATAATTCTGTCCATACCTTGGAACAAAATCTGCACAGAAACCTAATTAGGCATAGATAGCCATGTTTTGACTCACTGTCTACTCTTTTCAGTGAACGTACTCACAAATGTGCACAGACATACATGTGTATATATGTCATGGACATTGGAAGGCAACCCTCAAAATATCTAGTTCAACTCTACCGCACAAGAATCTTCTCTCCAATGTCCCTGATAAGTGATCATCTATTCTCCTAAATATTTTCAGAAAAAGAGACACCACTATCAACTGAGGCAGATTGCTCAATTTTTGGACAGCTTGCATTGTTAGAGAACTTTTCTGAAATCTACCTCTATATAACTTCTACCTATTGCTTACGCTTCTGGGGACAAGCACAACAGATCAAAGTACTCTTTAATGGCTCAGCCCTTCTGATGTTTGAAAGCAGTGATCTTAATCCCCCTATGTCTTTTCTTCAGTTTCTTAAAACCATTCTCTTCTTATCACCCTGGACAGTCCTTTAATATACCCCATTTGGTGAAATTTTTTTCTGACATTTACCAAACCAAATGAACCATTTCAGATGGAGTCTCATGGTGCCTTTGCACTGACATCCTTAGAATGTCTTCTCTCCTCCCTTCTCTCTCAGAGAACCCTTTTCTTTTTTCAAGTATCGTCTTCTCAATGGGGCCTGCCCTCCCTTCCAGATTGCATAGTGCTTAACTTCCTGCTCTTTACTCTCAGTTTGTTTATTCATTCATTCATTTGTTTATATATTCATCCATCCATTTACTTATTCAGTCATTCATTTATCTATTTATTTATCTATTTATCTATTTATTTATTTATTGTGTGTGTGTGTGTGCGCGTGTGTATGCTGTCTCTACTAACATGTAAGGTCCTTAAGAGTAAGCATTGTCTCATTTCATTCAGTATATTTGTTTCACCAGTGCCCAGCAGGATAGCTCTCATAGTATCATAGGTGTTTAATAAATATTTGTACATTGATTGACTCAGTGTTTGACTGTTAACTCATATCAGGTTTCCAGTTCACTCAATTCCCTGGCCTTTCTTAAACACAGTGGCCAGTCAGGTGTCCCTGCTTTTGTATTTGTGTAGCTGAGTTTTGGAATTCCAGTAAAGGCCTTTATAGTTAATCATTTCATCTTAGATGTTGCCATTTTTGCCTGCTGGATCCGTTGGCATCTCAATACTGTTACAAAATATTAGCTATATTTGTCATTTGTTTCTCATGCCTTCTCCATTTCTCTGAAATGTCTTTGTCTATGTTTTATTTTTCGGCGTACCTGTTGTCTTCTCCCATCTCTCTTCCAACACATGTTCCTTGAGGACGGGGACTTTAGATGATTTTGGCTTTGTGTCCCTAGCACTTGGTACGGTGCCTGACACAGACCAGGTACCTAATAAGTTCCTATTTAAATTTAAAAATGCTACCTCCCTCATTGGATAAGTATGCTGTATATGATGGTGTAGATATGTGCAGTTTTTCTCATCCTATATTTTCCCATTTGCAACAGTTACAAAATGTACATAAAGTAATAAGATAATTAAAAATCATTGTTTGCATGGAAATGACCTCCAATTTGTTGTGTTTCTCTCTCTTAGGAATTGGCTCAACCCCTCACATACACACCAACATTAAGGAAATGGGGAGGATTTGGCTGACGTGTACATCCACCGGCTGGTATCCAAAGCCTGAGGCGCAGTGGAGGAACATTTATGGGGTGCCCTTATTACCAGTGTCGACGAACATTAAGCAGAAGGACAATGGGTTGTTCTCTGTAGAAATATCGATCGTGGTGTCGTCCAGTTTAAAAGAAACCATCTCTTGTTTCATTTGGAACCCCCTCCTCAAGCAAGAGAAGGAAGCGAAGTTGATTTGGGCAGGTCAGTTCCGTCCCTAAATGCCAGAGCTATCCTTGTGCCCAGAAAGAGCAAAATGTAGACCCTAAAAAGAGAGGGAAAGCCAGACCCCTCCAAACATTTCACACAATCATGGGTCATAATGTTTGGCATTTCACTATCAGGAAATGTAGGATCTTAACGATGGAAGGTGCTCCAGAAATTCTCTGGTCTTAAATGGCAGAATCTGGATTCAGACGTATCTTTAAAATACAAATCCACTTCTCTTTTCAATATATCAGGGTGCCCCTTCCTTTGGCTTCCTACCATTCAAGGGTACTGAGACTTTGGTGCTTTACATTAACATGGAGGCACCCAGGACTGGAGGCCATTCACATTCCCTTATTGCTGTAGGGGAACCGTGTTTGCTGTTCGTCAACTGGCCTAGTCATTTCCAGTGAACCCATAGAAGCAGATTGAACAAGGGCGTATATTCATGTGGCTTCATCTGCTCCCTAAATGCTCCCCACATTTTCTCTTTATTGGTCAAAGTCCCTCTTCTCCTACTGGTGAATTCCTTCTGGGGCCTCTGTTCTGGGGGCAGGGTCAGGCTGGCCATGCTTCATTTACTCTCCTGGTCATGCCAAAATCTTTAAGGATTGTTGAACCACAATTCAGCTGCCCTCTCACCTTGGAACTTTCCTTATCACCTGGGGCCTTCTCTTCTTGTGATATGTTTGCCATACTACATTTCCCCTCACCCCATCCCCTTTCAAGCTTTCCTTTATGTGTCTTCTTTCACCACTAGAATGAAATGGACGTTGTTCTGAAGACGAGAACTGTCTTTTTTTTTGCTTCTATTTCTCTCTTCAGCACTTAGCACAGGGCCTGACATGTGTTGTGGTTGTACAGTTGATTTCCACTCATATCTGACTCTTTGTGACCCAAATGGGAGTTTTCTTGGCAGAGATATTAGAGTGGTTTGCCGTTTCCTTCTCTGGCTCATTTTACAGATGAGGAAACCGAGGTAAAGGAGGTTCAGTGACTTGCCCAGGGTCACACAGCTAATAAGTATCTGAGGTCAGATTTGAACTCAGGAAGATGAGTCTTTCTGACTCCAGGCCTGGCACTCTATCCACTGTGCCACCTGAATGCTTGCTTTTTACCTGTCTGACTAAGGATACAGGCAGGAACAATGTGTCATTCTTTGCCCCTGAACTTCTGAATTGTGGGCTACATAACAATACTTATGCATTGGGAGTATTTACTAACTTGGGGGCAAGAGAGAGTTAGAACATGAGCAGTGCACTGAATTTGGAATCAGGAAGACACAGGTTCAAATCCTGCCTCAGGACTGTGTGACTCTAGGCTAGTCACTTAAATTCTCTGGGCTCCAACTTTCTAATCTGTAGAATAATGGAACCAGACATTCTGAGGTCCTTTCTGGCCCTACAATCTATGATAATTCTACTCCCAGTAATGCTGATTCTGCGAGGCCTCTTATAGGGCATACCTATTTAGTAATAGCCCCTGGAGGAGGGTAGGTGGAATACAAGGGTCATTATACTGTTGAGCACATAAACACAGAGCAGGACAGACACATTCAAGAATCCTAGGCCAGTCCTTCCATCCTGACTCCCTACTAACTCTCCTTCTTTTGACCTTACCTTACCCCAATTCAACAAACATCTCCTTACTTCTTGAACTGGTAATCCTTAGGAAGAAAAAGAGCTAGCTTCAGATCTATTGGTAGTAACTATAGCATCTCTCCCTCTTAACTAGACTTGTTGGAGAGAGCCTCCATTGGCCAAAGCATAGGTGACGTCTTGTGCTAATAGTAATGCAGAGGAGAATAGGGCCTCTGCCTGCACAGGCTCAGGGAGACCCCAGGGCCAGTACTCTGACTAGGGAACCGGAGTACTGTGAAATTAGGATTTCTGGGTTCTAGGTCCACCATACGTGGACCTTGGGTAAAGCTCTAGAACTGCTTGGGCCTCCATTTCCTCATCTGTTAAATTAAGATTTTGCTCTAATCGGTAAGGCCTCTTCAAGCATCAACTGCCTATAACTCTGAGATTTGATTTTTTCCAGATAACTTGCTTCCAGGGACCTCTTCCGGGATAATCCTACTGTTTATCTGTGTATTTATTGCTGGAATCTTCCTATTCTTCACCTATTATGATGACATTCTAAGAAAAGTCAGAGGTAAAGGGGTAAATAGGTGGGTAGGTTGGGATTATTTTACAATACAATGGGACCTAGAGAAGATTATGAACTGTCTGAGTCATTACTTGCAGTTTATTCTTAGTTTGACATTAGGGGGATCAGTTCAGATTATGACAAACCCATTGAAAATCCAATTTGATTCCAAATGGATACCTGTAGGTGGAGTATATTAACCATATCCTACTGGAACTTTCAGATTCAAGCCAGATATTGTTAGGTACAGGCTTCAGATGAAAGATAAGTGTTGGAGTTGAGCTTTGGAGGAAACCTGAGAATCTTAGACAGGAAGAGGGACAGCACGTGTAAAGACACAGAGATGAGAGATAGAACGTCATGCCCAGGGAATGAAAAGAAGGCCAATTTGGCTTCGTGAAAGAGATTGGGATGCAGTAAGCTTGGAAAGATAGGTTGAAACCTGTTTGGTAACACAAAGGCTGATGAATTCATTCCTCCTTATATTTTGCCCAAGTTGTCACAAAATAGACAGTGGATAATAATAACACCTGCTTCATAGGGTCATTGTGAGGATCAAATGAGATAATATGGTTTAAAGTGCTTTGCAAACCTTAAAAACACCACATAAATACTATTATTAAATATCACCATCATTATTATTATGCATTTGTGGTCCCAATAACAAAGTCTAAATATTAATGAGGGAGCATAAGGCACATACTTTTGCACTTAATTATAATTCAGAGCAGAACATTTTATTAAACTATGTGAAAATATACATCTCTCAACACTACTAATCTGTTGATTTTTAAAATAAGATGATAAATGGTTCCTATTAAATTACTTTTTATTTTATTTCTCTTAGCACTAAGAGCCTGGTTGCAAGATTTGTTTGAATAATTCTGGAGATCTTCTGGATCCGGGAGAGTGTTAGGTGTACCTAACACTAACATGAGTACCTGATGTTAATAGCCTTTAGAAGTTCTTTGAGGAGCTATCTTTGGTCCAGCCTGGAAGCCAATTAATTAATTGACACTGATCTAGGCTTGAAGCCTTGTAAAACTTTTTTCATGTATTTTCTCTTTTGAGCCTCACAACAGGACTGTGAGATAGGTGCTAGAGACATTATGATCATTTTCTAGTTGACTTGTCCATGTTCACGCAGCTAATAAGCTAATAAATGTAATCTAAACTTTGGTCTTCTCGGAGTCTGAAGGTTCTTTTCCTTCTTGCCTCTGCTCTGGTGCTTTATACAATTTGGTCAAACTTGCATCTAATTTACCAAAATCCATTCATCATTTCAACCTAATTCGATACACGTTATTCTACCACCCATCTTCATGCCAATGCCTTTGAATAGGTTGTCCCTCCTATGGGAAGTTACTCCACCCTCACGTCACTCTCTCAATTGAAGTCACAGTATTAGATTGTATGGGAAAGATTAGTTGGGGAGATAAAATTAATAAACTGATTAATCAACATTTATTAAGCACCTACTAGGTGATAGGCACTATGTTAGGCATGGAGATACAAAATTACCTTTGGAGATACAAAATTACCTGTCCCAGATGAGTACAGCCAGAGGGAAAAAAAAGAAGTCCAAAATGAGTGCAGCAGGTAGGAAATGAGGAGATGTCTGTACATCTCCCTTCCTTAAGTGGAATTTGAAGAGTTCACGGCTCCTCCCTCCCCCTCCCTCTCAGAGGGGGAGACAGATGATGTCTGAGTAGCAGTCCCTGATTGACTGGATCTTTCAAGGTGATGAGATTTTCCAATAATGAGTTTACTGGGGGCTTGGTGGAGACATCAAAGACGTCCAAAATGGGTGAAGTGATACATTTAATGGGGAATAAGATGAAGAGATAGAATGGAATGGGGAGGGGAGAGTAAAGATTTGCAGGGCCCTAAGCACCTCTTACCTCCTAACTGCAACCAGCCAAGGCCTTCAATGATTTCCTTATAGGCCTAGTACATTCAGTCCTATTGTCTTCTGTTATCTCTAATCCTCAAGGTGATAGATATCATACTATAAACTAATCAGGTAATAATATATAAACACCCATGCATAGTTATATGCTAAATTGGTTAGTGTAGATTATAATTGCAGGGAAATACAGATCAGGGTGAGGTCAGTTGAGTCAGAGTCCAGAATATTAGACTGTGAGTCTTTAGACTTGGGAGGTTTTCATAGGCCATCTGTTTTCTCCCATGCCCCAAATGATAATATCCACAATATCTTTGACCACTGGCTATTTAATTTCTGCTTGTAGAATGCAGCGTTGGGGAGTTTATTGCCTTCTGAGGTAGATAAATGCTTCCAAGTTTTGCGCACTCACAGAATCACAATATGTGTAAATTGAAAGAAACACCTGATATCATTCAGTCCAATTGGCACTCGGAAAGGATACCTTCTGTAAGAGACTTGATTGAGTCTTTGTTAGAAGGCCTCCCATAATGTAGACTAAAGGCTGCTGAAGGCAGCTCATTCTACTTTGGGCCGAGCTCCCTTCAGGGGGCTTGAGGTTTCCTTGAATAAAATATTAAGGAGAAAAAAAGATTTGCATAATGTGATGCCAATTGAAGAAAGCAAAAGCAAGGGAGAAATATATACAATAAACAACAGTGTAAATATAGCTGAGACTGAAAATCAAAGGTACTCTGGCCAGAAACTACTGACAGTACCATTACTGTCTTGCCAAAGTTGAAGGGTGCGTCTTTCCTTTCAGTTAATGATCCATAAACCGAATCTTTATTTGTGGGATGGGTGAATGTTTGTTGGAAAGTTGACTCATCCCTTCACTTTTCCCCAGATACTCTTCAAACCATTTCATGATATCTTTTGTTTTTACATCATTTATATTCCCCACTGTTTCTCTTCCTCTACCTCTTCCCAGGTAGTCTTATAATAGCTTGAACTTACAATAACTACCCCTTATAAGCTAGAACCTTAACGTTTTCAAAGGACTTTACAAATATCTCACTTTATTCTCACAACAACCCTGTGAGGTAAGTGTTATCATTACCTCCACTTTACAGATGAGGAAATTGAGGCAGATAGAAATTAAGTGATTTTTCCAGGGTCACACAGCTAGGAAATATCTGAAGCCATATTTTAACTCAAACCTGTCTGTCTCTAGGTCAGGAGTTGTATTTATTAGCTCATTCATTATCTTTTCAACTTTATCTCTCCATTGATTTTTTTTCTTTTCGAAATGTCCATTTCTGAGCTCGCTTTGGTGTTATTTGCTTTGGTGGTATTCTAGTTTTTTTTTAAAGTTTGTGTTTTTTATTTTCTCCTAATATGAATTTAAATTTACAACCTAACCACCTCATAATAATTTTTTAAAAAAGGAGAAAAAGATTCAATAAAGCTTAATGAACACATCAGTGTTTAATTTAATACACAGTGTTCTACATCCATGCTCGCGCCCTCCTCTGCAAGGAAGGGATGGTGAGGGAATCTTTTTGTATTTCTTTTCTTGGGCCAAACTTAGTCATTTTTCTTTGTAGGAATTCTAAACTTCATCAACTAACACGAGCCTTTCCACATACACAGAACAGGGAGAGGAGGAAGAAAGAATATCTAGGGGGTAATAAGTGACTTCTCATTTACACTGACACGCAGGATAATTGTGACAGCATTACATGTGTCAAAGAAGGAAAAGTAGAGGTGCCCTTTCTCTCCTTGCAACTAGATGAGGTGACAAAATTCTGATTAAATTCAATGGACAATATTGGTTTGGTATTAGTTAAAAGGATAGGATTTCTTTTGGTTAAAAATCAACAACCTTTTTCTTTTTTAACTGAGGAGTAGATTTGGGCATTTTTTTTAGAAGTGTTCATTTTGTCAAAGCAAAATTTATCAATAAATTAAGAAAAATGTAAAAAAAATTAAACAATCTATGACTGAAAAAAAATACCAATTCAAAAACAGAGGAAGTAGAAGCCATATAATTAAATTTAGCGATGAAGAATCTAAGCCATCACCTGGTCCAATTCAAAAATTGAATAGATGAAGAAACTGTAGCCAAGAAAGGTGACTTTCCCAGGGTCAGAGAGTGACAGAATTTAGATAAAATCATTGCCAGAAGCACAGAGAAACGGTTCAAGGTCTTTGAAGGAGAATCAGATCTAGACACCAGTGTAAAATTAAGAGCTGACTACTTCCTTCTTCCTCCTCCCTCCCCCCCCATATACTTTTTTTTTTGGTGTGAGGCAATTGGGGTTAAGTGACTTGCCCAGAGTTACACAAGCTAGTGAGTGTTAAGTGTTTGAGGCTGTATTTGAAATCAGGTCCTCCTGACTCTAGGGCCAGTGCTCTATCCACTGCACCACCTAGGTGCCCCTGCCCCCCAGATACTTTTAAAGACAAACTTGGCAAGTTACATATTTTCACCATCATTATACAAATATAAATGGGGAGACTAGATGCTATAGAAAAATTCTCATCTCTTTGTGTTGTTGATCTCAGAAAAAAAGAAAGTCCTGAAGGAGTCAAAAGATTGCCATCTTAAAAAATGAGTGGGTTAGTCAGACAGTGAGTCAACAAATATTTATTAAGAGCCTACCATATGCCAGGCACTGCGCTAAGTGCTGGGGATATAAAGATGGAGAGTCATGCTCAAGAAATATCATGTAAATTATTATACGTGTATTATAGAGAGATGGAGGAGAGTAACATATAATAAGATGGGGGGGTAGGTTAGGAAGAGCTTTAAATGCCCCCAAAAGGACTTTGTATTTTATCCTAGAAAGAAGAAAAAGATAACGGTGAGGCGTATCAACGTTATTGGGACACAGCTGAAAGTGTCATACCTCTGAAGACTCATATCAGGAGAAGAAAAAAACAACAACATAAACTTCAAAAAAACCCCATAGACAACCAACAAAACAAGAAACATGAAAGCAAGCCCAGAAACAGCCATTTTGAGAGTTTCAATGGAGAGATAAAGTTGAAAAAAATCTTTTAGCTAATATATTTAATCATTTAGCTAAATACAACAAATGGCTAAAACTGAAAATGTACATGAAGTAGATGACTATGTAGAACAATATGAAATATAAAAATTAGCAAAATAGAAAATAAAGGCTCTAAATAGCCAAATATCTGAAAGAGAAACCAAGCTTGAGGAATTCCTGAAGAAAACTCTTCTAGCCTGGGTTTATTGAAAATGGAATTTTATTAGACATTTAGAGAACAAATAATTCCAAGGCAACATAGAGGAAGAAAGAACAAAGGGTTATAGATTTAGATCTTAAAGAGACTAGGGATCTAGTCCAATCCCCTCATTTTACCTGTGACAAAGCACAATGTGGCAATAGTTTGAAAGATATTCAAATTTAGAGAAAAAATTGATGATTGGGAAGTGACTTAGAAGCAAGGCATCCAGTAGAAGTTGACTTATCAAAGGATTGCAAATTGAAAGTTATTAGGTACCTTAGAGGCCATTTAGACCAACCCACTCATTTCATAGATGAGAAAACAGAGATATAGAGACATTAAATTAATTTTACAAGGTCACAAAGTTGTTAAGAGTCAGAATTGAGATAGATTCATACATTGTTAGAAGTACGAGGAATATGAGATTTTCTCATCCAATATCCTCTCATGTTACAAATGGAGAAACTGAGGCCCAGACAAGGAAAGTGACATACAAAAGATCACAAGGAGAATTTGTAGGTGAACCAAGCATAGTAATAATCAGGTCTTCTAACTCTGAGTCCCTTGCCTATTCATCTATATTAGTTAATTTGGATACTTGAGAAAACAGAAAAGCAAATGAGGTGGCCATAATGTGAAAAAATGGATAATGACAATTTTTCTTACTTTTATTTTTATAGGCACTCTTAAAGACTAGCTTGGTGAGCTATACTTTCTTATTCATAATCCAATATATAAAGTGATATGACATACCACTGGATAATGTTCATTTCACTATGTTATAGATTTTAGAGAAAAGAAAACTAGAGACAAAATGATTGTATCCTTAAATGACTGGATCAAAGAATAGAGCATGCAAACAACAAACAATTTTATTGAGTGAAATAATGACATAAACAATGAAATAATGAATCAACATACTAATATCTAAGGGATGTAGTTCAGGCATGTCATAGAGGAAAGTTTATGAATCTTAACATCCCCATTATCAAAAGAAAGAAAGAGCAAGTAGTTAAAAAAATCATTAAATTTATAAACCCCAAACAAAACACAAGAGAAATAATATTGAAAACAAAAGGTCCATTAAAATGTTAGATAAAACAAATATCTGTTTTCTTGAGATCATTATGATCAGTGAATAATTTGATAATTTTATTTCTTTTAAAGAGAGATGGAAACTAATTGCCAATATCAATAATAAAGAGGGAGAAATTTTAAACCAACAGAGAAGGTATAAAGAAAATTATTAGAAACTATAGTACTAAATTATATCCCAACAAAATGGAAAATTTACATGAAATAGATGACAATTTAGAAAAATACAAAGTATAAAAATGAACAGGAATTTGTAATAGAAAACTCAAACATCCATACATCAGAAAGTGAAATCAAGCTAAGTGATTTCTCCAAGAAAGTATTTCAAGTTCAGTCAGTCAAAAAACATTTATTAAGTTCCACAAAAGGGAAGAGAGATATGAGATGTTAGCTAGTGGAGATGAATGGATCAAGTGAGGATGTTTTGAGGAGACACGAACATATTTGTAGACAGTAGGGAAGCAGCCAGTAGGCAAGTAGAGATTGAAGATAGGTGAGAGAGTGGGAATGGTAGAGGGCGTAATCTGTTAGAGAAAAGATGGAATGGAATCATTTGTAGTTTTAGAGGGGTTTTCCATGGCAAGGAGAAAGTCTGTCTCTTCATATGAGACAGGGGTGAAGGAGGAGATAGTTGGGAAAGGTATCTAAGTCATAGGAGAAGAAGAGAGAGAAGGGAGCTCTCTGTGAATGGCCCCACTTTTTACAGGCAAAGTTCTTAGATGTGGAGGGGGGGGGGAAGGGAGATATGGAAAGTTTGGCAGCCAATGGAAAAAGTTTGAAACAGCTGCTGTGGTCAGTGGTACAGTGAGTTTATTAAGGAGGTGTAGAGAGATTGCCTTGTAGCAGTGAGGGCCCAGTTGAGGTTATGTAACACAAATTTGTAGTGGATCTAGTCAGCACAATTATGTTATTTTTCTCCAGCTTTTTCCCCCAGCACATGAGTAGGAACCAAGGCTGTGGATGGTAGGAATAATTCATTGTTGAGGTTAGACATGGCAAGATCCTTGATAGGATAAGTATACAAAGAATAAATGAGAAAAAGACCATGTAGAGTTGAACTAATTCACCGAGGGATCAAGATGGAGAATGGAGGAGAATTTAGCCAATGCAGGGGTGATAGCCTGGGAAAAAACCCAGGCATAGAGGGATTGAAGGTCACGGGGAGAATGAACAATGAGGTGTGGGGTTTCAAGGCAGAGGGAGAGGTGGAATAACCATTGTTTGTGATCTGATAAGGGAATTTCAGAGGTTATAAACATAGAAGTGGTACATTTATGGGTGACAGCAAGATGAAGGGTATGATCATTTCTGTGTAGCTGAAGTAGGGTGGGGAAATAGGTCCTATGAAACGAGAATATTGAAGAACTGGGAGGTTAAGGTGAATACTCCCTCAGTATTTGAGGGAGTATCAATATGTATGTTGAAGTCCTATATTATAAGGGCAGGAGCTGGGGAGAAAGGAAGGAGGGTGAGGCAGTCACTGAACTGATTGCAAAAAGAAGGAGAGCGTCCTAGAGGCCAATAAACAAAATTTTCCGTGGTAAATCTGGATTGAATGAACCTAAAAGGGAGAAGTTACTGAGAGATGGTCATGGAGGACATTCTGGACATGGCAGTGGGGAACAATTAGTATTCTAACTGTCCCACCTCAACCAGTGAGTTGGACAAATGAAGGAAATATGTTTCCAGTGCTGGAAAGGGAGACCAAGAAGACTGTAATAAGGAGGGAGCCATTTTTCAGTGGGAGACAAAATATGGAAGGAGTGAGAAAGGAAAAGTTTTAAAATGAAAGGTAACATTTGTTACCTATGGAACAAGCATTCCAGAGAGCACAGTGAAAGGGTTTGGTAGTTTTAGAATGGAATGTTGTGGGAGTTGGGTTAAGTATGATGGGAATAAGGGAGTGGAGTGTGGGGGATGGAGAATGAGGTTTGAATGATTACAGTCTCTGGTTCAGAATCACTAGGAAGAAGAGAGTATGTGACAGGGTGGGTGCTTATTAATCATTGATAAATTAGTTCAGGTAGATTACTAATATTCCTAGGAGTTTGCCTTCAGAGTAAAATCCTCTTAGGGCACTAGTCAGCGTAGGGGAGGGGACTAGTAGAGGAAACAGATGAAATATTATTTTTTCCCTTGCAGACTGTCCAGGCCAGGCCAGGAGACCATTGGAGGGAGCAGGATGGGATGGCACTTCTCTCCTTCCATGTACGCAGGAGCAGGCCAGTCCAGGAGAAATGCAGAAGGAGCAAAGAGGAATAGCATCTGTCTCTCTTCTCAGCCGTCCTGAAGAGGCCCAACCAGGAGACCAGAAGGAAGTGGAATGGAATCTCCCTCCTTCCCCTGATATCTTGAAGAGGCCAGGTTAGGAGTCTGGGGCAGAATGGAATGGTATCTCTCTTCCTCTACTGCAATCAGGAAGAGTTGAGATGAATTTAAAATTGAATTCTATTAAACACTATAAAAATAAATCATTCATAAGTTATATAAACTAAAAAAAATATAGAGAAGGCATTCTATGAAACTCCTTTTATGACACAAATTTATTGTCCTGATACACAGACCAGGAAAAGATAAAGTAGCCAAAAAAAAGTAGATCTATATCAGAAATGAACATTACAATAAGAATACTAATTAAAATATGACAAAAGAGGCTATGGCTGTGTATTCAAGAAATTACTTATATTTACCAAGTTAGATTTATACCAGAAATCCAAGGATGATTCAAATCTAGGGAGATTGAAAACATAATCATATTAATAGCAAGCACAATAGAAATTAATTTTGTTATGAAATATTAAGACACCCAAAAAATCCTTTTAGAGAAAACCATCCAAAAGAACAAAAATTAAAAGACCTCACAATTGTATGATGTAAGTACGTAAAACCAAACACTAACATAATTTGTAACACATAAATACTAGAAGCATTCCCAGTGAGATCAGAGATGATACAAGGAAGCCTACTCTTTCTATCATTATTTCGTTTAGTGCTAGAAATGCTATTTTTATGAAAACAGAAAAAAATAACAATGGAATCAGGATAGTCAAAGAAGATGTAAAAATGACCTCTTTATAGACAATATGATGATCTCCTAAAGAAACAGAGAATCAAGGAAAAAACCAAAATGATCAAAAACTTCAAAAAAGTATCAAAGATACAAAATCAATTAATCAAAGAACATTTATTAAGCCCTACTAAGTTCTAGGCAACATGTCAATCTAAACTAATCATGTCTTTCTATATATTACTAACAAAACCCAATGGGAAGAGATAGGACAAAAATTCTATGTAATTAAAAAATGTACTAAATTTTTGGGAATTTACGTACTAAGATACACAAATATCATATAAATGCAACCAAAAAGCATTTTATAGAAATAAAATAAGATATATTTATAGTATTTTATAGAAATAAAAGAAGATATAAGAAATAAAAGAAGACCACTAAAAATTTGGGAACTTTTCAATCTTTAGGATTGGGTTTTGCCAGGATAAGAAAAATGACATTACTATAAATAGTGGTCCTCAAACTTTCTTAAAAATTATTATAAGAACACAAACTATGTTTTTTGTTTACCACAAATTTGTAGGAAACAGGAAATGTATCTGGAGAAAAATATCTTTAGATCAACACAGTATGCCTTATTAACATATTCACAATATATAAATAATATTTACATACTATAAATAGAGAAAAATGGAAGGTTATATAACTTTTAAGTTTTTGAGAGGGAAAAATTCATAAGCAGACTTTGGATAATAGGGCATAAAAATAAGAGAAACTCATTTATATTTATATTTTAAAAGTTTTCACACAAAGAAAATCATTGTGACTAGAATCAGAAGAAAAATGTGGTTTCCAAAGAAGCTTTTTGTTTGGTATATCTGAAAAATGTCTAACATACAAAATCTATGAGGAATTGATACAAATTGATAAGGCTGTCCCATATAGACAAATGAAGGATATAAACAAAAAGTTTTCAAAAGAAGAAATACCAGCTATCAACAATTATCTGAAAAATGTTTAAAAGCAGTAATAATAAGAGAAGTCCAAATTAAAAGACCCACTAAGCATCACCTTAAGGCCATGTAGTTAGTAAAGAGGAAAATTCTTCATTGGAGAGTGTGTAGGAAGACAGGAATCACAATTAAACAGTGGAAGAGTTGTGACTGTGTTTCACCTCTTCTGGAAAGCAATTTGAAATTATTCAAGAAAAGTTATTCCATTGTCCATACCTACTGGACTCAGAGATTTCACTAATGAGTATAATGAGAACAAGAAATGACCATATAAAAGTTTTTATAGCAGCAATATTTGTGATAACAAAATATGTTTCTAACACTTGAGGAATGGCTGAGGAACTGTTGTAGCTCAATGTAATAGAATAACACTGCTATGTAAAAAGGGAGATATATGAAGAATTTAGAGAAATTGATTGCATGAAATAATGAATAAAGAAAGCAGAATAAAAAAAACATGCAATGATCACGAGGTAAACAAAGTCACTAGCCATTTGAAGGTAAGAAAAGTCGGCTATAGATGTTAGTACCATACTACTAAAGTTAAAATACTTCCATTAAAAATATTAGCAATAGACAAGCAAAATATTTGATTCTTAAGAGATGAGGGTTTGGAAGAGGGTTTTTTTTGTGTATCAATATATCAGCATTTTTTTAAATAAAGAAAAAAGTAATTGAATTTAGAAAAAGGAATGAATGGAAGGAACATTTGAGGGTTTTAAAAGGATGGGGAAGCAATGGGTAGATAGGGAGAGAATGACGATGTGAGAGAATGGAGACACGAGGCAGATAAGTTACTGGAGAAAGTGGGAAAGAACATCAGTCATTCAGCCAATTAACATTTTTTGACCACCAGTCTCCTACATATTGTGTGACCTTAGAGAAGTCACCTTACTGCTCTGAACCTTGGATTCATCAAATGTAGAATAAGGCTGACCTTGATGATTTTAAAGATCCCCTTCAATTCTAAATCTTATAGAGTTTGGGGTCATGGGTGTCTCAGACGCAAGAGAATATAGTCTACAATTAACAGTATACCATGGATAAATTGATCTACATAAAGAGCATTCCTTGCAGCATGTGCAAATATTCTTTCCCTAGTCAATCATGAAGAAATCTGAGGGCTTGACTTTAATCCCTAAACCACTGATGACTGAGGATCCCGTAATTGGCTACTAAGCAGGAAGATCTGAGGACTCAGGGGACCTTTTAAAAGAGAACACAGCTTCCTGTTTGCTCCCTTTTGGCTGCAGTTCAGCAGATGATTAAATGTTATTCTAGTGTGAGGTGGGGAAAGGACAAAGTCCTATCTTCCCCATTTGGCCCCTGAAGTCCCTCCCTATTGCGGTGTTATAGCAACATACATAGCAATCAATGCAGGGGGACTCAACCAGGTGAACTTTAGCTGAGGTGACTGGCTACCTCTGACTGTCTTCTGGTGTTCCTTTCCTTGAGTAGGTGACATTGTAAAGTTGAAACATTGGGAGGTCTGTGAGAAGTGGCGAAAGCGTATAACAGAATGATTACGATGGCAGCATTGTCAGGAGTGGGTCTGAAGAAAGGGAAATATCTTTGATGGAAAGACCATCAGAAAGTAAAATAAATTTGGATGTTTAATTAGACAATGTCAGAGATGAAAAATGGAAAATGATTAGTTAAAAGCCTTGCAAAAATTGCTTTTTATACCTATGAGGCTTAACCACCAACTTTCCAACAACAACAACAACAAAAAAAAACTACACTAGTTAAAGTTACTAAACTCTGCTCTGATCAATCTGTTGGTGTGCAGTATGATCTTTATGGTTTCATTGCTTTTGTCAGGAGTAAATTTCCTATAAAATATCTTACTGTATTTGTGCTTTGAGTATATGTGCTAATTGCTTCTCTTTTGGGAGGAAATCTAGTCATGAATTATAACTTTTATTGTAATTAATGTAATATCCAGATTTCCAGGGTGGCAGCTTACTAATGAGCTAAAAAATATGACAATAGGGATCCTAATCTTCTAAATAGAGCTCAGGATGGTCCAGAGCTGAGTCTGGGCAATCATTAATGACCAGGTGAAGGATGGAGACTGGTCACCAGCCCCTATGGCTGCAGCCAAGCTGTGCCTCTATACCTTGCATCAGAATTTTAATCTTATTTCATTTTTTTTTGTTTGATTTCAGACTTACAAACTGCCCAGAAACACAGAGGTAATTATTGAAGAGGCTATAAGCAGAACCCGTGGGGAGCAGAAAATGTCTTTGAATTAGATCTGAGATTATACTGGACTGAAAGCTTCATTTAACATAACAGTATTGGATGACAGTCAAGAAATGTAATATCATCTAAGTCTTCATTGAAAGAGGCTTAAATAATAGCCAGGACTAGGGAGTTGATAGCCCCACTGCACTTTGGTCTGGTCAGCCTACATCTGGAGTATTACTGATTTTAATTTTGGGTGCTACACATTAGGAAGGACAATTATAAATTGAGACATTTATAAATTCCCTTCCCCAGGGAAGGGAAATCAGGGGAAGGGCCTTAAGCTGATGCCAAGTAAGAATCAGTAGAAGAAATTGTGGATGTTTTGGCCAGATGTGTTGGGGAAGCTTGGTGGTGCAGTGAATAGAGTATTGAGAGTCAAGAAGATCTAAGTTCAAATCCAGCCTCATTCACTAGTAGCATGATCTTGGGGAAATCGCTTAGCCTGTTTGCCTCATTTTCCTCAACTGTAGAATGCAGATCACAACTGGAATCACCTGCCTTCCAAGGTTGTTGTGAGGAGCAAATGAGATAATTGTAAAGCACTTAGAACAATGCTTGACAAATAGTAGGTGCTATACAAATCCGAGCTATTATTATTATCATTATTTTTTACAAATGAGAATATTTAAGTTACTCAAGTATTCAAAAAGTAGTCATGTGAAATGGGGATTATGATCATTCTGCTTGAGCCCAGAAAGCAGAAGGAGGAACAGTGGGCCAAAGAAATAAGAGGAAAAGAAAAACTTGACAATTAGAGATAGCTATAAGGCAGAATGATGACCAGAAGTTAGAACAATGTGGTAGAGTGAAAAGAGTGCTGACTTTGGGGGTCAGACAACTTGAGCTAAAGTTCTCCCTCGGTCACCACTTCTGCAACCCTGTGAAAGTCACTCCACCTCTCTGGGCCTCAGCTGCCTCATCTATAAAAAGTGGGAACTGGTGAACAAGATGGCTTCTAAGGTCCCTTCTAACTAAAAATCTATGTCGCACTAATCCCTAAATTGAGGTCTTTGTTTCATTCTCTTTTTTTGTATCCTTAGAGCTTAGCATAGTGACTGGTATATAGTAGGTGATTAATAAATGCTTATAGCTTGATTTAAAGGCTGAATCCAGCACTTAGTATAATTTGGCACAAAGTAAGCATTTAATCCATGTTTGTTAATTGACTGACAGCTTAATGAACATTTTTATTTATAGTACATTCTCTTTCAGTCACATATTAGAGTGAAAGGTCTCAAGTTCTTCTAACTGAGATTCTGTGATTCTGTGAATAGTAGGTCATATTTATATAGAATTTTAAGGTTTGCAAAGAATTTTATTATTTTGTTTGACTCTATTTTACACATCCCTTCTTCTTGAAACTCTACTTTTGGACTTTGTGACACTATATTATTGTCTGACATCCCCCTTCCCCTACTGTTTTCCTCCTATCTTTCTAACTGTTCCTTCCCAATATAGTAAAAAGAGCCCTAACCTAGAATGTATATGGAGGCATGACTTCAAGGAAGTGTAACTATTCTACAATAGAAACACAGTAGATTCAGCAGCTAGGGGGCACACTGGACTCAGCAAGACTGAGTTCAAATTTGGTTTCAGATATTAGCTGTGTGACCAGGGGCAAGTCAATTAACTGACCTGCCTCAGTTTCCTCAACTGCAAAAATGGGGACAATAATAGCACCAACCCCCTAGGGTTGTTGTGTAGATAAAATGACGTAATATTTGTAATGTACTTTGCAAACCTTAAAAGCCAGCTATTATCACTTGCTTGTGTGTGTGTGTGTGTGTGTGTGTGTGTGTGTGTGTGTGTGTGTGTGTAAGGTAATGGGGTACTAAACTTGAAGATATAAAACAGACTTATCCTTCTGAGTTAGGGAGAATGGAGACAGGGCAAGTGAAAAACAAAAATATACTGAAGCAAAAGGAGGGAAGATGAAAGAAGTTCAGTCATATGGTCTTGTGTTTCTCAGCAAAATCGGGGGGAAGGCATCGGCTCAATGTGTTCATATGTGTTTGGGGGAGAGCTTGGTGCTTTGAACTTGGAGGTGGTTTGGAATAGCAGCTGGGACACGTATTCTAGGTAATCATCAAGAGATGAAGTATCATTAAACGATGCACATCACTGGGGGTGGGACAGCAGAAGTGATGGAGCATGGTGATAGGCTCTTGTTCCTAACCCCCGGACTGAACCCATACCTTTCTCTGCAGTGGATGTCACTTTGGATGCAGACACAGCTCACGCTTACCTCCTTCCTCGAATGGATGGCAAAAGTGTCTTTTCCTGTTCTCAGAAGCTAAAGAAACCCAAGTGTCCTGAGTGCTTTGAAACCCTGGTCTGTGTGCTGGGCAAGGAGAGATTCACTTCAGGGAAATTCTACTGGGAGGTGCAGGTAGAAGATAAGATGAAGTGGACCCTGGGACTCTGTAAGGACTCAGTCTGCAGAAAAAGGGGGGTCCAGGTCACCCCAGAAGCTGGTTTCTGGGCCATCTCTCTGAAGAAAGGGAATGAGTACTGGGCCCTCTCTAGCCCTCAGACCCATCTCCACTTGGTAGTGGCCCCTAAGATTGTGGGGATTTTCCTGGACTATGAAGCTGGCCAGATCTCTTTCTATAATGTGACTGACGGTACCCATATCTACACTTTCCAAGACACCTTTAATGAGGCCCTACGGCCATGCATCTGCCCTGGCCCCCTCTCTATATGGGAAAACATTGTCCCTATCACTCTCCCATCCCAAAGGCAGGGGACTTTCAAGCCTCCCAAACTTCCTAAAATCACACAAGAGCCTGGAAATTGATTTGAGTAAGGAGATATGGGCTCTTGAGAAGTCATCTTCTCCACAGCCCTCAGTACAAATGCACTTACCTTTCATCTCTGTTGGAGGACATTGCATCTTCAGGAACGTCCCTTCTGCACATGTTGAGAATTCTCCCACGTGTCCTCCATTCCTATGCACATCTTCTCTGCTCCGTTTGGTATGAGGGTTTACTAAGCCCTTTCCAGGGCTATTTATTCCCCTGTAGTGTCCACCTGTCACCCAACTCTCACCCATAGTTCCAAGAAGCTGTAGCATTCACAGCCTGGCAGATGGGCTACACCAGGTAGAGGGTAACCAACAGGACTCAAACCTGTTGGTAAGTTAGGGAGATGTCTATCCCAAGCATATAAAGACTACCCCTGGTGGAATGGGTGGATGAGAACAATTTGTTCCAATGGTCATGAAGGCAGCTGAAGCAAGCCCTGTGGAGCACTTAGAGCTTGGCCAGACATCAAAGACGCCAAGGTCATCCGCTGCATCCCAAGCCATCGTCAGTCATCGTGCCTTTTGTCTTGCCACTAGACTTCGATGACTCTGAAAGACAGAGTGAGACTAATGACTTTGTACAGCTCTGCCTCACTTAAATCCAATTCACTCTCAAGCCAAAACATCACATGCCAATGGTCCTCTTTGAAAAGAAAAGATAAACAACAACATCCTCATAGCCTCTTCTACTTTTGTTTGTTTCAGCACCACGAGAATTCCTAGTGTACCTTTTCTACAATAGTCCTATTTGCCTTATAGATTTTTAACAATGGCCTTAAAATACAGATATATATTAGATACAATAGCTCATGGGCCAAGGAATCCCTTCAAATTTGCCAGGAAGAAGGGCGGTTTACTTTTATGGGAAATATTGGCTGGTTACCATAACTAGCTAGAAATCTGTGTAATTGCACTAGCAAAGATGCAGAATCTTTCTGGACAGTTATCTGACAGTGCACAATAAAGTTTACAAAAATAATCCTTGCTTTTGATCCAATGATTTTATTGGTAGGAATATAGCCTGGCAGTATCGTCAAAATAAAAACAGAACTGTCTGTTCAAAAATTTTCATAGTTGCATTGAATGTATTTCCAAAAACCTGGCAATAACGTTAAATAGCAATATGACTCTCCCCCCCTCCCCATAAATCTGGGGCATGTGCTCATTTCCTCTATTTTGTCTTGTCTCATACAATTTATCTTTTTCTGTCTGAATTCCATTCAATTAACACTGCTCACTTTAAGGCTGTGGTAAATGCCCATAGTCAGTGGGAAGAGGACCCGCATGTATGACACATGTATGTATGTGTATGTGTACATGTATATGCATGCATACCACATGTGGCCACAGTACCTCTGTCGAGGAGCAATCCTTCCTTTGACATTTCTTAGCTTCCTTTGTCTTCTTGTGATGTCACTACACTCCTTCTCCTGGGTCGGGTCCCCATTGGACTGTCCTCACGGCTAGATTTGTACCTGGGTTTCCCATCTTCTGTCTTCTGCTTCTCAGCACTGCTCTTGATGCCCACCTCTGCTGCTCTGAGCCTCTTTTTCTCCCTTTTTGACTGTTGCTTCTGCTCTCACTTATGGGGATTATAAAAATTAAGCCTTGAAAGAGGAGCTGCAGCCAGAATGTGAAGGTTTTAAATGACAAGCAGAGGTAAAAGCAGTGACTTGCTTGAGCTCTCCCCCAAACCCCTCCAAATACCTGTGAAAAATAAATGACGAGCAGAAGAGTTTGGATCTAATCTTCAATCTTTGCCTATTTCCTGGCTCCTTCCTTACTGACCAGAAGCATATTCATGTGTCCATCATCCTTAAACAACTTTAATGTGACTCTACCATCCTTTCATGTTACCATATTTTATCTTCGCTCTTGAACAGACTACATGCTCATTTTCTCCATTTCTTCTCCTCCTACCCTCTGCTTTACCCTTTGTGATCTGCATTCTAACCTTGTCACCAAAACTACTCTCTCCAAGGCTGCCAACAATCTCTGAGTTATGCATTCTGATGGCCTTTTCTCTGTCCTCATCCTTCTTGCCCTCTCTGCAAACTTTGCTATGGCTAATCGTGCCCTCACTCTGGACTCTGCATTTTCGGGGCATTTCATGACGTTATTCTCTCCAATCTCCCCTCCTGCCCATCTGACTACTCCTTCTCAGTCATCATCCACATTCTATCCTAAAACCTTATATGTTCCCAGTCCAATCCAATCCAATAAACATTTATTAATGTTTTTTGCCTCTTATGTGTGAAACACTGTACTAAGCACTAAGCCCTCAAGGAACTTACAATCTAAAGGGGAGATAATACATAGAAGGAATCAGGAAATTGGAGTAGGGAGAATAGAACAGTAGGAGATTCCCCATGTGGGAGCATCTTCTGTGTAATTGAAACAAAACAAGGCTGCAGATTAGAAGTGGAAGTTCCCTGTGGTTTACATGGGATTTTCTTCTTCTCTCTCTTCCTTTCCTTGTCATTCATCTGATTGACCAGCAGCTAATGCCTCCCCATTCTTAGTACCTCCCATCTATTCTCTATAACATCTTGTATGGACATAGTTATTTACACATTCTCTCCGCCAACAGAATACAAGCTTATTGAGGGCAGGGACAGATTTTTTTACCATTTCTTATATACCCAGCCCTAAGCACAGTGTGTGTTATGTAGTGAGAGCTTAATAAATGCTTACAGACTATCAGGTTTTGTCAAATATACTGGCTCTGTGCTGGACGGTCCTTTTGTATGATCACTAAATGTTTCTTGGCATCCAATGACTAACTCATTATATCCATGGCTAGAAGGAATTCCATCTTTCTACTCATTTTCCTCTTCTTTCTCCTCTTCCTCCTCTTCCTGCTTTCTCATTTTCCTTATTTCTCCTTCTTTTCTTTCTCCTTTGTATTTATATCACATTTTTATAACCTTTCAAAGTTCTTCAACTCAAATTTTCCTATTTAGACCTTCATGACATCTCAACCCCCAGGTGACTTTCTATTTCCAGAGGTTATCAACATGTGTATTTCACAAGCGAGACAATTGAGACAGAGAGGCTAAAAGCCTGGGACTCAGTTTATTCATGTGTAAATCAAGAGATTTGGGTGAGATGATTTGTGAGGTCTCTTCTAGATCTGGACTTTAAGACTCTCTGATCTTATAATTGGCTCTGGGCCAGCACTGGTAAAAATAATAATTTATTTAAGGTTCACAAAGAAACTTAATGACTAATAGAAGACTTGGACCCAGGACTCTTATCTCTACACATTTTTTTCTTGTACCTCATCTCCAACTTATATATTGGAGATTAGGACCATGTAAATGGCAGGAGGGAGGCTTTCCCTGGACTGAGGTGCCTCCCTGGCCACCTGTACAACTCTTCCATGCCAAGGATGGGCTCACAAGTGCATTTCAGTCATCTGGGTCAGATTGAGTGGCAAGCTAAAGATAGGTCTGTTCTACATATGGGCCATTATCTTGTGACTGAAGTTCATGGTACTTAATTGTGTCTGGTAGACTGGTTTTGAAAGTAGTTTGGGGGTAGCTAGGTGGCACAGTGTATAGAGCACTGGCCTTGGAGTTAGGAGGCCCTGAGTTCAAATCTGGCTTAAGACATTTGACACTTACTAGCTGTGTGACCCTAGGCAAGTCACTTAACCCCATTGCCTAGCCAAAAAAAAAAAGTAGTTTGGAAAGTTATATTGGAAGCAATGACAGCTGGTCTCATGCAGCTTCCCAGAGTCCATCTGAGGGAATCTCAGCTCAGACTAACCAAGCTCTGTCCTCTGAGGTCTCTATTTTGGAGAAACATGCTCCTTCCTGCTCCTGAGCTTCAAATGATCTCCCTGACAATATGAAGAGAAGTGCACAGTGACTTCTCTTTGGGCTCTAGTTTGCTCCTTAGTTGAAGAAATCACAGAATCTCAGAGTTGACAGGGACGTTAGAGCTCACCTAGTCCATAAGGACATTGGGACCCAGAAAGAAAAAGTGATACCCAATGTCACACAGGTGGAGCAGAGGGAGAATTCGAACCCCTGGATGACCCTGCTTCCCAATTCAGGGCTCCTTCTACTTGAGTCAAAGTGCCTCAGGAAGAGAAATTCCAGAACTGTCTAGGCACGGTCTTGGGATCATTTCTCTGTACCACCTCTGGGTAAAATTTCTCTCCTAATTGAAACATTCTTGCTTGCAGTTCTTAGTGTACGTGGTGAAGTGGGTAAAAAAGCCTCTTCAAGGCTGGGCGGTATAAAGAAACTAGTGGTGGATCTGTTGTCAGGGGACCTGGGTTCAAGTCTCAGTGCTGCTCTCACTACTTATGTAACCTTGGGCAAGCCAAACACCTCCCAAGACCTCAGTGTTCTCATCTGTAAATTTGGAATTCACCACTGTTATTCAATATTGTACTAGAAATGTTAGCTTTAGCAATAAGAGAAGAAAAAGAAATTGAAGGAGTTAGAATAGGCAAAGAAGAAACAAAGCTATCACTCTTTGCAGATGATATGATGGTATACTTAGAGAATCCTAGAGAATCAAATAAAAAAAACTACTTGAAATAATAAACAACTTCAGCAAAGTTGTAGGATATAAAATAAACCCACATAAACCATTGACATTTCTACGTATTACTAACAAAGCTCAACAGCAAAATATAGAAAGAGAAATTCCATTTAAAGTTACTGTAGACATTATAAAATATTTGGGAGTCTACCTGCCAAGACAAACCCTGGAACTATATGAACAATCACAAAACACTTTTCATACAAATAAAGTCAGATCTAAACAATCAGAAAAACATCAGTTGCTTCCATTATGACTTAAGAAGACTGTGGGTTCTCAAAGACTATGCCAATGAAGTACAAGTTCTCGCGGGTCCTACCAAATTACAAACGCTTTGAGTATGGATCCAGTGGAGGATTGTCACCTGAAGATCAACCTAGCTAAGTTGGAAGATCAGGACAATTAGGTGGTGCAGTGAATGGAGCACCGGGCCTGGAGTCAGGAAGATCTGAGTTCAAATATGACCTCAGATACCTACTAGCTGTGTGACCCTGGACAAGTCACTTAACTCCTGCCTGCATAAAACTGAAGAAGGAAATGGCAAACCACTTCAGTATTTTTGCCAAGAAAACCTCATGGACAGTTGGTCCACAGGGTCACAAAGAGTAGGATATGACTGAATGACAAGAAGAACAAAATTTGGAGATGCACACTGTCATAAGATTATCCAGGTAGGTGATGAGTATTTTTTATTGAATATATATTTATTGAATATATTTTATTTATCCACCTACTAAGGCATAGAAGATTTGCAATCTCCATTGGAATTATGGTGAAGTCATGGTAAAATGATGAAATCATACATTTTTTGATATACTGAAACCTGCATAAAGAAGAATGCTTGCAGTTACCT